CCGATACTGAAGAGTAAGGAAACCTCGTCATTTACTTAACCATACAGGAAGAATGGTTAAGAGGATTAAGAACAAGAACATGAGAAATAGTCTAAGAATACCATAAAATAAATGGTCTAGATAATGATAACACAATGATTTCTAACGGCCCCTAAAGCAGCAGGCTTATAATTTGTGTATACTTAGAAGCATTTAAGATGATTCCTAATAGAGTTGAAAAACGGGCATGCAAAGTTGATCGGATCGTTATGCATGAAATGAGTATTTACCCCAAAAATAAAAATTTGTGTATGAAGCTATTTAAACAAAAAGGCCATGGAATAAATATAGTAAGGTATCAATCCGGATTGATTCGATTGTCTATTAATCAACATAAGTTTAGAGCAAAGATGAAGGGGTCTAAGGTAGAGTTGCGCGGGTAGAATAATGGTAGATAAAAAGTAGACATAGGGCTGGAGGAAACGAAAGTTAAATAAATAAAATGCGCATGAACATAGTGAAGCGCTTGTATAAAGTATAAGCGCAAAGATAGAGAAGAAAGACATTTAGATGAGGATAAATAAGTATAAACTCTATATATGTACAAACATAAACAAATAAGAAAAATAATATAATAAAGTACCTAGTCAATATGTCGTAGTCGAAAAAGAAAATAAAAATATGGGCATAACAATGAATAATGGAATAAGCTGAAAGCTGACTGAGAGTCAGACCTTTTAGCATAGACACAAACCAAGAGTGAATAAAGGCAGGGTAAGTATGCCAAGATGGTATAAGAGGGAATCTAAAAGAACTCCTAAGCATGCAGACGGACACAAACAGATGTTAAATCCAAATGGTATTAAAAACACCTAAACAGACAAAAATGTACAAGAGCTGAATTCACCATATTTCGTTCAAGATGAAGGACTGGTAGTTAAATTTTCCTACAATGACATGAGTAGGCCTTACGCTTCCATTGAACTCCACATAGCTTTGCTTCCCAAAAACTTTCCTGTCCAGGCAGAAGTATACTGCAGTTTTGACCTCTCCTAGGTCTCATCGAACCACGATGGTTCAGCATATACTCTCGACACGTTAACCACAACACCACGCTGTTATGAATGCTCTTGGGTCACAGAGGATACATGAATTTGAAGAAAGGCCAGACATTTTTCTATACCATATTCTCTGGTGCGACTGTCGATAAAGCAAAGTTGCATTTGCTATACTTATGACCGTCAAAGTGTTAAGCTAGATTTGAATGAATGAGTCCTCAGCGCACCGCAATGCGACCACGATAGTTAGCTAAGCCTTGGTCCAACCTGCGACAGGCGGAACTAAATTCTATCTCCAATGACAGTCTATTTTGCCATTAAATAAATTCATTTAATCCTATTAAGCTATTCTTGACAGCCGAGATTGGGTGAGTATGATTTACAAGGTAAACCCTCGCCTAAGTCTTCCAACAGGACTTTGTAGAGGGGACACAAGACGTTCCTCTAAAGGACTGGGTTAATTTAAACTTGTAAATATAATCCAAATATTCAAATATGGCGGAAATGTTGAATTGCTGATTGTCAAGGGTTAAGATAGAACCATAATTTGACTAATGGCT